ATGCCAATGTTGCTTTGTTAGTGATCAGACTACTTGGAAAAATATGTTTGAATAAAACATTAAAATTATTTGTTTTGTCTTACCAGGGAGAAGTATTTTATGTGTGTTTTACATCTCCCTGGTTTCACTTTTTTCGTAGTGATTCAATAAATCTTACAGAAAATACACGATTATGCGTTGTTTAATTCTTGCTTCACATAGCGTACAGTACAGTACTTTGTAGAGTGAATCATGTGCTCACCAAACATGGTCTTCCTGTATGTTCTTCGTGATCGATTGGTGCTCGATTCTCGACCCGTCTGAAGACTACATAACAATGTTGTTTTTGTAATAGTGACGACGTGGTTAATTTGTTTGAATAAAAACATTAGGGTGTTATTTAATTTGTGATGATTGACTATCATATCCATATTGAATACTGGTAGGCCTAGAAGAATATCGTCTTGATTCCTGGTAATTAAGTTTTAGCAAGGAAACCTTGCATAGGCCTAGGCCTTGTATTTAGGTCAAGTGTGTTCATTTAACAAATGATTGAGTAAGATAGCTCATAATACAGTATCACTTTTATTTGAAAATTTAACACAATGATTTAATAATTTATTTAATGATTAAACTACATACTGTGCTGTTGTAGAAAATTAAATTATGTTTAATAAAAAATAAAAAACAAAATTATAAATTAATTTAAAGTGCATTGCTGAACTTGGGGGAATCACCGCGGCCATGGGAGGCCACGCAAATATCGAGTGCTGAAAATGCAAGTTTGTTAAAGTATGACTGTGCAAGCGTTGTTTCATTTACGTAAATATATCGTTGATTTCTTTATGACGACGTAAATATATCCACTTCCATTAAATTGTGTAGTATTTTATGCTTGAGAAACAGAAAACAGCTTTGAATTGTAATGCACTCCATCATGTTGGAATTCAATGTTTTGACAATGACATTATGTTCTGGTGTATATGTGGACTCATATATGGACAGCCTAGCTAGACCCCCTAGCTTGGGGGTGGGAAGGGCTTGCCAGCCAGGTCCCCTATACTAAAGTTACATCACAAAGTCTAGGCTAGGCCTAGCTATACACAATGACATTAGGTAGGTAGACAGGGCCTAGCCTATACAACGGCGAAAATAGACAAAACACGTAGGATATGCCTTGGCTTATGCCCCTAGCCAGAGAGTTAACTGGCGATCCAACGCTAGTTCAAGAAACTAGGCCAGCATATGCTTAAACAAGAAGGGCTAGGCCTACGTATCTAGGCCTAGTATGGCCCAGGAAATGCAATGGTTTTGGCCGCGAATTAGGCCTAGCACACTACAGTAGTATAGTTAGGGAATTCAACAACAGTTAGGTCTAGGCTACACAAGTATAAATTACTTACTTTTACTTCACTTTCTTAGGCTTATGAATCTTCCTTCATTTACACTCGCTACAAGACGACGGCACTAGAATGGCCGCTTCCTTTGTGAATTCAAAACTTGAAACGGGACACCGGAACTGCCAAAGACAGCTAGTTCATT